AGGAATGCTGGTAGTCCAGGGGCAGCTCCTCCGTGATCGGGGCCTATTGGGCCAAGCGCTGTGCCAACTCGCTGACGTTTTTAGGCGAGCTCTCCTCAAACGGCCTCGGTTATCGGCATGCAAGACCCTCAACACTCCACCCTTTTTGAGGAAAGGCGATTGTTTCTCATCCCCTCTCATCACCTGCCCTTCTCCATCTGGAATCCTCAAAGTATCAACTGACAGCCAAGCTTTTATTTAAAAAGCAGCTAGAACAATAAAATAGAGTGAAGGAAAGAGAAGAACCTGCTCCAGCATCACCAGGGCCAGCAGAAGGAAGAGACAGACAGGTCAGTCATTAGTGGTTTAAGATATTCCCGGAAACTATAGCAACATCCTGCTGCAGAACTAGATCTGCCGCAGCCTCCCAAGCCACCGAGCCCAGCGGAGCTGGTAAAGAGACACTTCGGCTGAATAGGACGTGCAAGGAGACAGTTGCCAAAATAGAGAAGACATCCCTTCTTAGACACACCAAGGTCCGTTTCTGCAGCCGTCTCGCTCACAGTTCACCTCCCCTCTGCCAGCCAAGCCAAACGCGCCCAGGCTGGCATCTCCCACCCCATAAAGGCAGTGAGAGGATGAGCAAACGTGTTCAAGGCTTCCAACAGGGACACAGGGAAAGATAAAAGATGTAATAGATTAGATCTGTCTTTTGTGAGGAATTTAATGACTACAACTGTTCAGCATCATTAACTAGTTTGTCTTGAAGGATTAACCCTCCCCCGTCCCAGCTCCGCCACTGAGCAAACACTTGGGGACAGTGGTAACCACCCAGATCCCGCTCGGGCCGCCGAGAGCGGAGGGGAGGGAAGGCTTCTCCCCTCCCCTGGAGCAGGGCTGCAACGATAAGAAGTCATTAAAAGCTTTTACTACCTGTTGCTATATAGCAAAACAATTATGGAGGAATGCTAGACACAGAGAGACCTTGCTGTGCGAAGAGCAGCCTACTACAACCAAATCCCTCATTCCCGTCCCCTCTCAGGGGCAACATGCCCTATAGTGTTTCCAAAGTCTCTTCCCCATCTGACTTGGGGGGTGGAGGGGAACACAGCTCGATTTTAACCAATTTAGAAAGTTGTAAGTGTTGCTTGAAGTGAACTGCAACGGCTTAACCCAGCACTGACTCCCAAGAGAGAAGCCCGGACCCCAGGCAAAGGGAGGTGCATATCGAGCCTGCGTCACCTGCCACCAGAACCCTGAAGACCGCTCATGGCTGACCAGGTACCTGGTGACTTTCATTGCAACGCGTGCAACTTTAATCGCTATCCACGTTCATTCCACGGCATCCTTAACTTCACCCAATCCTTGGCTACCCTGTCCTCTTCCTAAAGCATGCAAATGCTCCCAGTCCTGTGCAGAAAAACAAGACAAGCTGCTGGCCTCGTGCAGCCCAAAGCAACCAACCAACTCCAGGAGCCATCCTGCTGCCCGCGATGCAGAGAGCGCCAACAGCCCTCCCGACAGACGATGCTCCACCGGCCTGTTGCAAGTTATCTGGGGAAGAATGAGCTTGCATTTTGCATTTGCACAAACTCTAGCAGAGTGAATCCTGTCCACCATTAGGCTGGAGGAGACAAGGAACCGCAACACCAACACCTGCCTTAGTCTGTGGGGTTACGAGTTGGAGAAGTAGGAAACACCACTGCCTGTTTTCTGAGTATAAGCATTAGGCACAGGGTGTAAATTCTCTCCAAGCTCAACATTAGCATGTGTCAGGTATTAGAAGTCCCTCAGGACCAGCTCAAATGACACATGTTCTCCTGGATGGTACAAACAGCAAGCCAAAGCAGAGGAAGCAACAGCTCATCTCCCACTGGTATTTGAACTGGATTTAAACCAAGACCTCACTACATGGCCTCACCCACCTGCCACTTCAACTCAGCTCCCAGAGCTGGCAGCGCAGTGCATCCCTGTACGAAGGGCGGCCGTCGGCCACGCAGCTCCAACAGCGGGAGATGGCCGTGCTGCTCCCTGCAAGAGCATGACCCTCGCTGCGAGCAGCAGGTGCTCCAGCTGCCTCCATCACCACACCATCCTGCTCTTTGCAACACAAGAATTTCGTTTCCCCAGCCTACTTCCCTCCCAACACGCTCCCGTTTCAAAACATGCCAGCAACGGAGGATGTCACCCTTCAGGAAGGAGCGGGTTTTGCGGTGTAACTGCTTATCTACTCTGCTGGGAAACATCGGCTCTGGGCAGCTGATCAAATACAGCCTGGGGCCCTATTCAGCACCTTGTAATGAGGGCAATCATTGCTATAGCCAATTCAGGCAGGAGACCTCAGAGTACTAGAAATGGAAACAAAAGCCAGGGGTTTGATGGCAACAGTCTTCCAAGTGCTCTAGCTGCACCATGGCAGAGTCAACCACCTGACAGCATGGCAACAAAAACACTGCTTCAGCGGCTCTGCAAAACGCCTCTGATAAGAGATGCGGGGCAAAACCAGAGCCCTAAACCAGAGGGGCCTGCTGCGAGTGCCTGCCCTCACCTCCTGCTTCCCAAGGGCCACGCGTGTTCCCCGCACAAGACTGCTCCTCCAAGCCCAGGGCTTTGCTTGAGCTGGAGCTTACGGTCAGGAAAAACAACTGGTGAAGTAAAGCCCTCTCCTCACTGACGCCCTGAGCAGACCTGCCACGCGCAGGAGATGGAGAGAGGCGCTCGGGAAGAGCCAGGCAACAGCCAGGGAGAGCGCGGCCTCCGAACCGGCTCCTTACTGATGTGCTGCCCAAGCTCTTGGCAGTCCGACACTGCATTCGTTTTGCTTCTTTGTTCTTTATTTTTAACGCATCCATTTACATTGGAACTGACACAGAAATACCAAGCAATTTTCTTCATAGCTGAGGAGACAGTCTCAACTGTAGCTGCTGCAAGAAGCTCAGAAAGCAAGAGAACAGGGAAGAATCTGGCACAGGGGTGTTCCCAGAAAGCAGGGTAACCAGCCTCAACTGTGCAAGTGGAAAGTCTTACATTTTGCACGGAAATCTTTGCCACAGATAATTCCCCTTCCATTTAAAAAAAAAAAAAATTGCTCTGGAATTTCTTCAAGATATTCTCAAAGGCTCCTAAGCCATTCTTAGGTTTTCACCTCTAAGAGTGCAACAGCTTCCAATTTATTTATTTTTTAATAATGTTTTTGTGACAGTGGAATGGCTCATTCAATTTTTAAAATGCTTAGAGGGCTGGCAGCTCTGCAAATTAAACTTCTGGGCTGAGACAGAAGGTCACACCTGAACTGCTTGGAAAGTGTTGCCAGTGAAAAGAACAAAAGCAGAAGTGTGAAAAAAGAAAAAAAGAATGCAGACAGCCTAAAGCTGTATTCAACATAGGCAGAGCCACACCGGGTCTCAGAGAAAACAGTTTCATTAAATCTGTGATAGAAAGCAATCTGTATCTGACTTCTGTCAAAGCAGAAGCTGAAGGAAGACAGTAGAAGATCCATCTATCCACACAAAGCACAGTAACTCCCACATGATGTTTCATTACCTGGGACTGCGACCAGACACATCCCATGCTTCAAAAGCTGACAAAACCATTGGGTGGCACAGGGCAATCCACCTTTATACCGTCGGGTTACGCGGTCATCACAAAGAGCGCGGTACAGACACCGCGTTCTCATTCACCACCCACATCAGCAGAGGTTTCCCAAAGGCAGCGTCACCCTTTGCAGCTCCTACGCTACAGGGAATACTTCAAACTCCATAGACCCCACCGTTGGCAGAAAGAGAGAAAACTGGATTTAGGTTGGGAGATGAAACAAGCTTCTGTCCCTCACAGCTTCAGACAACAGCGCAGTTGTATGACCAGAATATACCTTGAAAGTTCACAAACTCCTCTCTACAGGATGCTGCAGTTGGTTGAAGCTTATCGATGGGTTCAGGAAGAGATCTCCACTGAGGAAGGCTAACAGAAAACCAGTCCAGCTCAGGAGATCCATAAGCTGCAGGGTGCCAGAGGCTGGGCAACCACTGAGGAGACACCACCGAGCTCCCTCCATCCCTCACACTCTTCATCACAGATCCTATTGCTGGCAGAGGCCAGGCACACACTAGGACCGACCCAATACGGCTCGTACAGCGATACACCGCTGAACACTCCGGCTCCTGGCAGAGGCTGACACTACAGAAGTCCTAAAGTGGCGTTTCACCTCCTTGCAGTTTGCATCAGGCAAAAAACAGGCTCCCATCTCCCTCCAACACCAAGCGAAGACCGCGCGCCCCAGCCACCTCCCTGCAGGAAACACTCAAACATCTACTTACCAGCACGGGGATGAGCAGGTCAGCAAAATACACAAAAGCTGCTCCCAGAGCAAAGCCAACAGCCACAGGGATGAAAGCAAAGGCTCCAAAAATTCCAGATTCCTCAGCCATTTCAATAGCTGGGGCCAGGAGGGACCAGTAAGAAGCTGCCAACATGACCTAAGAGACAGACAATGTGAGGAATGAGAACATGGGAATAGCTTCCAAGGCAGGGTCTGAATGAACAAGCATCAAGGCTACTTGGTATCCAGGGTCATAGCCTTGCACAGAATTAGTCAAGGGGGAACTGAGGCACAGAGCAGAAACCGGCTCAGGTTTATTCAGCAAGCTAGTGACAAAGCTAGAAGCAGAATCCAAGGCCATCTTTGCTGGCCTTTGGAGCAGGAGGGAAGA